TGTTCTTATCCCTGCATTCTGCTGCAGGATATCTTCCCATGTTTAGGGTAGATACCCTTCCTAACTCAGCAATGGCTTTGAGGTCTGTCAGATACCTTCAACCTGGTTTAGCCCCTCTGAGACACTTTTATTGGAGCCACAGTGAGAGTTGAAGTGCCAGGTGGACACCAAAGGTTGAGCAGCCATGAAAAGGGCTAGTTCTCCCTGAACATCCCATAACGTGCTAGGTACTCTACAAATATTATCTCATTTGATTCTCATAACCACCCTGGGAGGTAGGGCCAATTATTACACCTTCTTTACAGTTGGGGAAACTGAGGCAGACAGGTGAAGTGAGTTGCCCAGGGTCACTTAGGTAGACGTGTCTGAGGGTAGATTTGAACTCAGTTGTTCCTGACTCCAGGCCCACTGTGCCACCTAGATGCCTCTCAATAATAATAGCCGCTAACATTTGTAGAGCACTTACTGTGTGTCAGACATCCTGCTAAGTGCTTTGCAATTATTATCTCATTTGACTCTCACAAAACCTTGGGGGGAAGGTGCTATTATTATTCATTTTGCAGATGAGGAAACAAAGGGAAATAGAGATTCAGTGACTTGCCCAGGGTCACTTCGGTAGTAAGTGTCTGAGGCCTCTAGATTTGAACTTAGGTCTTCCTAAGCGCTCTATCCACTGTGCCAAATAGCTGCCTTCAGATATTTCAATTGTTAAATTGTTAAAAATCTTAAATTGAATTGTTAAAAATCTTAAAACAACAATTAAAAGATGACAAAGGAAAGAAATCACCACAGAAAAAACTAGTGGAGAGACTGACTAGGAAGCATAGGAAAGCTCCCAACACAATTTTTAAAAAAATAGGGCTAGAGAATGCCAAGAAACAATTCCAGAAGACGAGAATGTCTGTAATCGTTGCAGTTAGAACCCCAGATAAAAGGACAGAATTGCCCCAAGAATCCAGGGAGTAGTTGGAAGGTCTAATAAAATAACTGAAGGAAAAGCTAGGGTATGAAATTAGAGCTCAATGAAAAACTCAAAAGGAAAGTATATGGCTTAAATTGAAAGCTAAAAATGTCAGCAAAGCAGTAGATAACCATAGAATTTAAAATTCTAATGCTATAGAGAGAAACAACAAAGAACTAATTTTTATTCGGCCATTTAATATTTGTAAGCCTTAACCCTTCATGATCTAAAATTCTCTCCCTACTTTATGTATACATATTATCTCATTTTAACCTCACAACTTTCTACCTTAACTAGAGAAATGTAAGTGCTTAATTTTTTTTTGGAGGTGGGGGGCGCTAGGCAACCGGGTTAAGTGACTTACCCAGAGTCACACAGCTAGTTAAGTGTCAAGTGGCTGACTCTGGGTTTGAACTCAGGTCCTCCTGACTCCAGGGCTGGTGCTCTAACCACTGTGCCACCTAGCTGCCCCATAAATGTTTTCTAAATGAATGAATTAGTGACTTCTCTCATGGAATACTTTACTCAGATGAGTCAGGTCCCAACCCTCTCATTTCAAAGAGGAGGAAACAAGGGGCAGCTAGGTGGCACAGTGGATAGAGCAACAGCCCTAGAGGCAGGAGGACCTGAGTTCCAATCTGGACTCAGTCACCTAGCTGGGTGACCCTGGACAAGTCACTTAACCCCAATTGCCTCACCAAAACAAACAAACAAACAATCGAAAAGAAACTAAAGCCCAGAGAAGGGTTTGGTACTGGTCCAGATTGGGCCTGGAGGTCACACCATTATGCTATCCTGCCACATTTTCCAACCCAGGTTTTTCCTGATTCCAAGTCCAAATCCAAAGAACTCATGAGATACCTACAGTAAAAAATAATGACTCTCAACACAGGTCTCAATGAGATTATCTAAGAATCACCGGTTTCCCAGAAAAATATAATGAAAGAAAAAATTACATTTCTAAACATCATTAAAAAAACTGACTGGAATTTCATGAGAAGCACTGAGGAAATGCAATTGCTAAGCTCCAGAACTCCTGGGCCAAAGAGAAAATATTTCAAGCAGTAGGGAGATGTTATTTTATTGCCTATGAAGGAACTGTGGCCAGAATCAGGAACTATTCATTAGGAAGGGGAGAAAAAAAAAAGATTGGAATATGATATAGCAAAAAGCAAAGGAGAATGGCTGACACTCAATGATAATTTATCTTGGGAAAGTGAGCATAATCCTACAAGAAAAAAAAAAAGGACTTTTACCAGAATTCATACCTGGCAAGCATCCTTTGAGGAAAAGAGAGTTGGGCAGAGCCTTTGAATTGCAGACAAAGGAAACAAAAGGAATTTAAGGTAAGTATGTCAGAAGGCTAGATGCGGATCCCCGAGTTTACATTCTGAAAGCAAGAAAAAGAATAATTTTTCTGCCTAGTCTAAAGGGCAATAAAAAAATAGAGACACATTCTAGGCTTGGGTATTAAGAAATATTCTAATAACAATAATAGCTAATGTTTATGTAGGTTTCTAGGTTATCTCATTTGTTTCCCACAATAAAATTTAAGATTGGTGCTATAATTACTCTCATTTTACAGATGAGAAAACATGCTGAGAGAGGTTAAGTGGCTTGCCCAGAGTCAGACAGCTAATGAGTGTCTGAGGTAGAATCTGAATTCAGGTCTTGCTAACTCTAGGCCCAGTGCTCCATTAACTAGCTGACCAAAGATTCTTAAACTTTGTGTTATGGACCTCTTTGGCAATCTAAAAAAACTTATGATCACCTTTTCAGCAGGATGTTTTTAAATATGTAAAATAAAATATACAGGATTATAAAGGAAATCAAGTATCTTAAAATAGTTTTCATGATTTTTTTTAAATGCAAGGTCAGAAAAAAAGAAAAGAAGAGGGCAATGAACTTAGGATTTATTGCAGTTGATTTGTTTGTTTGTTTTTTTGGAGGCAATGGGGGTTAAGTGACTTGCCCAGGGTCACACAGCTAGCTAGTAGGCCACCTAGCTGCCCCTTTGTTTTTGTTTGTTTTGATTTGTTGTAATTGAGATCCCACTGATGAAGACCCTTCCAAAACAGAGGTGGTGGGGGCAGAGAGAAAAACAAATCATAAAAATGAATATTTAAAAAAAAAAACAAGAAAAAAAGAACCAATAACAATGAAAAACACCCAAAGATATAGCCATCTGAATAAATGAAAAAGACAAATTTATCCTTTAATAAACATCAAAACATTTTATTGCCATTAAGTCTAAATGTATTCTATCCAATATTCTCAATTCAACTACCAACTAAATTATCCATAGCTAACAACTGCTTCTGTTACCAGGCAAAAGAAGAAGTTTCTCTTCAGTTTGAAAAACACAGTCCCATACAAAGAATTTACTAAAATAAAAAAGTCTGTTCCCTTAATTCTGCTTTTTGTGTTTGTTTCTCCTCAGTCTGAATAACATTAAAACAAAAGTCAAATCACAAAAAAATAAGTAATTTAAAAATTAAAAAAATACATCCATCTTTCTTTTTTCATATTGTACAGTGAGAAAACATTTTAACGAGCATGGGAATAAATTAAATGATATTTCAACACAACTTTGAGCTCTGTCACTTAGATGTAAATAATAATACAATCCTTCTTTTTAGAAATATACCCACAAAATTCAAAGGAAATTCTTAAAAGGTTTAAGTAAAAAAAAAAATCTGTCTATAAAAATGTCTACATGACACAGATAAAGAAATGTACTTCTCAGAGTTTAAATGAACAATTAAATAAAACAGCTACCTCATGCATGTGTACTCTTCATATCACCCAGTAAGTGAGTAAAGCAAGCAAAAACTGAAAAATCTCACTTCAAAATTTCTTAAACTTTAAATCTTTTTTCTCTTCTTTCAAAAACACAGTACATTTCCTAAACACATTTCCCTTATCACACAGCACTATAATTCTAAGATATGTAAATCATTTTACAGCATATCTCCCTTCTAAACTAGGAAGCTTCCAACCAAAAAAAAATTATATTTTAGCTTGTTTTGCAGAGATCCCAAACTGATGGCTTTAAAGGAAAATAATCTTTTCTTTAATAAAAGGAACTGGGGTATTCAGGGATAGAAACTCCCCCCCTTTGTGGTAAGTAGTTAAGATACCTTTTTAAAATTCCTGTTACATGCTGCAAAAAGATTTAAGATCATCTCTTTATAAAGATCCTTAAAAAAAAATTACCAATTCAGTTTAAAAACATTATCTTCATCTCTGCAAAGTCATCAGTGTATTATGAACTCAATAGTTGTTTACTTCCTTCTCTATTAGCCAAAAACTTTTTATCCAGATTCTCTTGTAAAAACCCCATTTTTAGAAAAATTCTTTGCTAGAAAAACCCGTTTTGGCAAATATTTAGCAAAAAGTTTAGCATTGTTCATTAGCATCAAATTGTTCCTGTTATCAGGCATCTCCCCTGACCCTCTCAAAGACATGCTATTTTAAAAAAAAAAAAGTTTAACTTTCTTTCCAATTTTGATTACTGCTCTTTCATTTGGAAAGAGAAGTTATCAATCAAACAAACAAAAAAAAAACCTTCAAAAAAGTTTACTAATCCAGCTTAAAAGCACACATCTTGATCTCAGCAAAGTTACCAGTGTATTATGAATTTGACGGCTGTTCATTTTCCCCATTATTAACTAGTCAAAATCTTTTTATCCAGATTCTCTTATAAAAATCCTATTTTTAGAAAAACAGATTTTGCTAGAAAAACCCATTTCAGGAAGTATTTAGCAATAACCTTAGCGTCATTCTTAAATTGTTCCAGTCACTGGACATCTCCCTTGACCCCCTAAAAGATATAAAAGAAAACTGAAAAAAAAAATTGCCAATTTCTTTCCAATTTTGCCTGTTTCTGTTTAATTTGGAAGAGGATGGGAAGGGCTGCCAATCTAACTGGATTACTGTTTGAAAAAAAAAAAGGAGAAACTTTATTTTCTCTTTTAATTCCATTGCTTAAACAACAGCAAAAAACAAAACCAAAAACAAACCACTGGGTGGTTTGGTGTTTTTTTTTTTTAATAGAGATTCCCTCTCCCCTCCTCTCTCAAATATATGAAGAATCATCATAAAAGACTCACTTACAAAGAAGGTAGTACATTTTGCTAGATAGGCAAAACCCCCTCTTCGTTGTTATCTAGATATTCTATAACTAATAGCTATTAAAGAGAACTCCACACATACCAAGTACGCCATTTTGCATTTTTCTAAGCAGGATAAAACCCTTTTCCAGAACTATTTCAAGACCACCAACACTTTTAAAATTTTGCAAACTATCAAGGTAAAGCTGGTGACAAATGGCACAAAGTTTCTTCTCCTTTCTTCCTGCTCCTTATGTTAATGCATTCCTTTTGGCTTTGCACAATTCAAGCCTTGTGAATTTTGTCGGTCTTAAAGGAAACCTGCAATACACGGCCACCAAGGACGGAACCATTCAGGCTGGCGATGGCCACAGCTGCTTCATCATAGCTGGTCATAGTGACAAAGCCAAAACGTTTGCACTTTTTGGTGTTGAAATCTCGGATGATCTTGACGTTGCTCACTGCTCCAAAGGGCTCGAAAAGCTGCCAGAGGACACTCTCATCACATTCAGGGTATAAGTTGTAGATGAAGATACACCAGCCGCTGCTATTGCTGGTGTGGCCTGGGAAGGTCATTCCCATCTGGCCCATCACGTTATCAAAAGAGGAGGGTGAAGAGCACTGGGCTCCACAGGTCGCTTTGAACAAGTTGTCTAGCCCCAATCTGCTGGTCTGAGGCTGCAGGAGCCCCTGGTGGTGCTGGGGAGGCTGCGCCAGCGGGCTCTGAGGGGTCTTCAGGGCCTGGTTACGAGCAAACTTGACCACGAGATGCTCCACCATACCGTGGAGCTTCTGGCCATTGAGGGCCTTGATGGCTTCCACAGCCTCTGATTTCGTATTAAAGCGGATAAAGCCCACACCCCGGGAGGCCCCACTGACCTTGTCTATCAGGATTCTTGATGCTACGATGTGCCCAAAGGGAGAGAAGAGCTGTTCTAGCTCCTTCTGTGTCACAGTCTTAGGCAGGCCACTGATGTAGACGTTGGCTTCTTGGACAGAGGATGAACTGGACTGAGCATAGGACACCTTAATGGTTTTGGGGGGGCAGTGAAGCCCATTCAGCAAGCAGAGAGCTTTCTCTGCGTCCCAGGGGTCCACATAGTTAATAAAGCCATAGCCTAGGCTCTGGCCGGTCATCTTGTCCCGCACTAATTTGCAAGACTGAATCTCACCCATACTGGCGAATATGTTGTAGAACTCCTCTTGGGTCATGCTCTGTGGCAGGTAATTGACGATCAGATTGGTCTTGGGGTAAGAGGAAGCCGGCAAGGGCCCCTCTGCAGCCCCTGAGGAGGAAGAGGTACCTACCACTGCAGCAGCAGCAGCAATGGTAGCTGATTCAGGCTGGGGCTGAGGACTAGCTACAGGTGCTGCTTGGGACAGGACTGAGGCCAGAGCAGGAGCCCTAGCCTGGGCATCCAGGCAGGCCTGAGCAAGGGCAGACAAAGGAAGAGGAGGCCAAGCAAAGGTAGGAGCCAGAACAGGAAACTGGGCAGAGGCTGGAGCACTGGTCTGGCCAAGAGCTGGAGGCTCAGCAACGGCAAAGCCTGGAGCTGGGACAGGAGCAACAGGCCCAGCAAAGGAAGGCACAAAAGTCGGTACTGGCGAGGGAGCTGGAACAGGAGCCGGAACGGGAGCCGGAGCCGGAGCCGGGACGGGAGCCGGAGCCGGAACGGGCGCCAGAGCCGGAACGGGAGCTGGAGCTGGAACAGGAACTGGAACTGGATCTGGAGCAGGAGCCACAGCCTGGACAGGAATGGGATTCTGGGTATGAGCTGGAACGTGAGCCAGCACAGGTGCAGGAGTAGGGAACCCAAAGCCAAAGGTCAGATTAGCAGCCAGGCTAGGGCCTGGAACCTGGGCATGGGTCATAGTGGCAGCCAGGGCTGGGACTGGGGCTGGAACCTGCGTAGAGCATGGCTCAGATTAATAGCCAAGGCAGAGGCCGGAGCCGGAGCCTGGGTAGAGGCATGGGTCAGATTAATAGCCGAGGCAGGGACCAGAGCAGGAGCCGGAACCTGGGTAGAGGCATGGCTCAGATTAGCAGCTAAGATAGGCGAAGGGGACAGGACCATCTGCACAAATGAGGTCTGGGTTTGGGCCTGTACAAGGCCCCCCGCAGCGGCAGGGAAGGCGCTCGGCCCATTACCAGAGGGCCCGTTGTGGGCGGGCCCCAAAACGTTGCTCACGTGCCCTACGCCACTGCTTGTATGGCCGCTGCCGCTGGTGGTCGGCCCCATGCCGTGGGTGGGCCAGTTGGTGGAGAACCCGGAGCTGTTGGAAGCTTGCCCATTAGCAGGGGATTCAGCGGTGCCGTTGGGGTCGTTAGGGTCATCGTGGTCATCGGAGGAGGTACCGTGGCTGCCACTCACCTCAGGCTCCGCGGTCGGAAGGTTCTTCAGATGCATTTTCTCTGGAATTGGCTGTATCTAGAGCGCCCGGGCTACACGAGGCTGAACCGCTGGTCTAGCGGGTGGCACAGCCGGGCTGCTGGAAGGCAGTGGAGACCGCCAGGGCGGTAGGCCCAAGTCCAGCGACCAGGGGAACACGTGCGCAGGAGAGGCGGCCTGCGCGTGCTACTCCCTGAGAGGCCGGCACCGGAGTGAGCCAGGGGCGTGCTGGGCAGTCTTATAGAGGGGCCAGGGGGCGGGGCCATACAGCTACCGCGAGAATAGAGAACAAAGGCGCCCCTGTGTACGTGAGCTTGGCAACAGTTGCTCCCACAGCAACTGCAAGCAGATAGGCCAGGGCACGTTGTGACGCCACGGGGAGGGGGCAGAGGGCAGAGGTGGGGGGTAAGTGGGCAGGGCTGAAAGTGTCTCGCTTGGGGGAGGGGCCAGGGCATCGGGCCTCTTAGGCGGGAAAACTTTCTTCCGCTTAGCCCTGCAACTGGCGGGCGCCAAATTATTGGAGGGAAATTGTTCTCCCTCAACAGTTACACTAAGGAAAAAAAAAAAAATTAAAAAAAAATTACACTAAGCAAAGGGGCGACCAAGTAACTGTGCATGCAGTTACAAAAAAGCAGCATTTGCAAAAGCAGGAGACGATCTAGCAAGTCACAAGTGAACTCCAAAAGGTAAAAACAAAACATGGATACAGCTTTTAAAAAATAAATAGCTTTTATTGTTTTTCTTATTGCCGTCGCTTCCTAATGACTCTCTCCCACAGAATCTTTCATACCAAGTAAGTACAGTTAAGCAAAACAAATCGATCTCCTGGCTTCATAAGCATATCTCCTCATGCACCTGTAGCCTCACCGCACAGATGGGGGAGGGATGCTCCAGCACCACTTTTTTTTTTTAAATTTATTGAGCAGGAGCATGATATGGTCAGACCTGCACTTTATTTTTTCCTCCCACTTGATACTGTTTTATTTTTTTCAAATTACATGTAAAGATAGTTTTCAACATTCACTTTTATAAGATTTCCAGTTCCAAATTTTTTTTCCTTCCCCTCCCCCCTCCCCAAGACAGCATACAATCTGATATAGGCAATACATGTACAATCCTGTTAGACATTTCCACATTAGTCATGTTGGGAAGGAAGAATCTTCAGTGCCACTCTTGAGGTCACAATTGGTCCCTGTGGTGGTGGAACTTCTCTCATCTTTCACTGTTGTTTTCCTTTCCCTTATTGTAGGAACTAAGTAAATTGTTCTGGGTCTGCTTGTTTTGCATAAAATTTATCAGATTATTTATTATTTACCCAGTTCCTATGTCCCTTAATTCTTTATAGTTGTTGCTTGTGATGGTGTGATAATATTCCATTCCATTCACATACCACAGTTAGTTTAGCTATTGCTGAGTGAGAGGGCACTCATTTTGTTTTCCAGCTTCCTCCCACAAAAAATGCAGCTATAAACATATATGTATATGTGACCTTTCCCTCTCTGACTGCCTTGAAGCTATGCCTAGTAATGGTATCACTGGATTAAAGGGTATACATTGTTTACAGACTCATAAAATAGAATTTCAAATGGCTTTCCAGCACAGTTGGACCTGCTTCACAGCTCCACTTACAGTGCATTAGTGTGCTTTTCTGCCCAAAGCCCCATCACCATTTACTATTTCATCTTTTGTTGTCTTCTCCAATCTGATAGGTGTTCTGTGAAACCTCAGTACTTTTAGATTCCATTTGTCTCATTATTAGTGATTAGATATATGCCTGTTCATATCCTTTGACTGTTTATTGAAGAATGGTTCTTATTCTTATAGCCACACAGATTTAAAAGTGAATTCTATCAAAGCAAATAACTTAAGTGCTACATAAACTGCTTGCAAAAATAGAGGGGAAAAGGTACCTTGCAAAAACTCTGTCTGCAAGATAAATAATGGTCCCAATAACAAAATCAGTGGAAGATTAAGCACAAAATAAACTATAGATCTTGGTCATGAATGACAAGTGGCACCAACATTGTAACTGAAAAATGAGCAAGGTCACATTGGCTAGTTAGGGGCAGAATTGTGATTAGGAATCAATCAGTAAGCATTCATTAAGTGTCTTCTGTGTTCCATGCACTGTATAAATGCCAGGGATACAGAGGCAAAAAAGAGAACCTACTCTTAAGAGGAGCTCACAGTCTTATAGGGAAGGAAAGACACAATTATGTCTAAACAAGATATATACAGGATAAATTGGAGATAATCCATAGAGGGAAGGTAATAGCATTAAGTGGGATAGGAAAAGGAGTCTTGTGGAGGTGTGATTTTATGTTTTTGTTTTGTTTTGTTTTTGCTTTTAGGCAACTGGGGTTAAGTGACTTGCCCAGGGTCACACAGCTAGTAGGTATCAAGTGTTTGGTGTGAGGTCGGATTTGAACTCAGGTCCTCCTGACTTCAGGGCCAGGGCTCTATCCACTGCGCCACCTAGCTGCCCCTAAAGGAGATAGGATGTAGGTCTTTTTTTTTCTTTTTTTTTTAAGGCAATTAGGGTTAAGTGACTTGCCCAGAGTCACATAGCTAGTGAGTGTTACAATGTGTCTGAGGCCAGATTTGAACTCAGGTCCTCCTGAATCCAGGGCCAGTGCTGTATCCACTGCACCACCTAGCTGCCCCGGAGGTGTGATTTTAGATGGAATTTGACAGAAGCCAGGGAATGTAGGAGGTGGAAATTAGGAGAAAGAATTCCAGGCACAGGGGACAGCAAGTGTAAATGTATGGAGATGAGAGATGAGACTGTTGTGTGCAAAGGACATTGAAGAGGCCAGAGTCACTGGGTCACAGAATGTGTTGAGAGAGTAAGGTATGAGAAGATTGGAAATGTGGAGGTAGGCCAAGTTAGGAATGGCTTTGAACACCTGAGAATTTTATATTTGATCCTGGAGGCAATAGGGAGCCGCTGGAGTTTATTCAGTAGTGGGAGGACACGGTCAGCTCTGCACATTAGGAAGATGACTTTGATAGCTGAGTGTAACATGGACTAGGGTGAGGAAAGAATTGTGGCAGGTTAATGTAATAGTCCAGTTGTGAAGTGAGGGCTTGCACCAGAGTGGTGGAAGCTTCACAGGAGAGAAGGGGACATCTAGGAGAGATGTGTTACTAAAGTAAAATTGCCAGCACTTGGCAACAGATTGGATATGGGGGTGGGTGGGTTGAGAGAGAGTCAAGGAAGGATGATGCCTGGGTGACTGGGAGGATTGTGGTACCCATGACAGTAAGAGGGAAGTTAGGGAAAGGGGGAAGGGGAAATGAGGTAAGATGGCTGAGGGCGGGAGAAGATAATGAGTTCTGTTTTGGACATGTTGACTTTAAGGTATCTAAGGGACATCTGGTTCAAAGTGTCTAAAAGGCAGTTGGAGATGCTGAACTGGGCTGGATAAATAGATCTGAGAACTGTCTGCATAGAAATAATCGAATCCTTGGGAGCTGATGAGATCACCACATACTGTGATCCTAGCCCTATGTGAGACTCCAGGGAGTCAGAAAAGTCTAAGCCAGCCACTGTCTTCATGGAGTTTGCAGTCTAGTTGAGGAGATGTTTAGCATCTAGGACAGTAGTGGGTGTTTGCTAAATCCAGGTTGAAAAAAAGAATCAATATAATCCAATGCTGCCTGGGTGGCACAGACTACAAATACTGTTGGAATTCAGAGAAGGAAAGATCATTGTGATCTGGGGTTTTCTGGACGAGGTAGGTATGATTTAAGGGGGGCCCAAGCAGGATTGAGACAAACATATAGGAAGAGGAAGAGCATTCCAGGAGGGAAAAACATTTTGCTTCTTGGTTTCTAGTATTATACATAATACAGATGTGGGTATGAGTGTGTGTGTGTGTGGGGGTAGGGTGGATACTTCTATTATCTGACTCATATGATTAGTATTTAAATTAATTCAACATTTATTAAGTACCCACTATGTACCAGACAGCTATGCTGATACTACAAAGATGAACAACAATAGAGTCCTTGGCCTCAAGGACCTTACAGTCTAATGGGAGTGGGGTATGATGTTTAAAGTTAAGTATATCCTCAAGGAGAAAGAGATAGGGATGGAGAGGAGAATCCTGACAAAGTGCTTAGGGAAGATTGGAGGGCAGAGAGATCATTTTTAAAGGCCAGGTATGGAGGGGGAACTAAAATGGAAGAGTGATCAGAAGCCACTTGGTGAGCTCCAGGCCACAGACTGTTCTAACAGTTCTAGAAAATACACCAAATGAAGTCCTGATAAGGAAATCCAGGTAAGTCACAGCGTGTCATTTGTCCAGCCTGGGTGTAGAAAAACAGATTGGGAATATATACATGTACACATATACATATGTATGTATATGTAATATGTATGTGTATATAGTTATATATAACACACAATACAGTACATACACACATTATTTAATATATACAGTATGTAATATAGATATGTATATATACATATATGTGTATACATATATATATATGCATATTATATGCAGTGTGTGTGTGTGTATGTGTGTATTGTAACAGTCCTCTGGCATAAAGGAAGGCCTCCTGGGAGGATGTAGGGGTTCCCTTACTGACCCTTGCTTTCTACAACTGGCCTCACAGTGCCATCCTCCCCCAATGTAGGTGCCACTGCCACCAGGTTAAGCCTGGGTACCCACCCAGTTTATGTTCAAGAAAAGGCAGATGAACCAGCCAGCTAAGTTAGGGAAAACAACCCACTTAATGAGGTCAACCTTACCTCACTTAAATCCAATTCACTTGCAAGTCAAGACATCACCTTCCTAATGTCATTGGTCCTCTTTGGGGGAAAAAAAATCTAAAGGAAAAACAACAATTCTGCCGTGAATAACATGTAAAACAATAGGAATCAGTTCTATGCAAAGCTTCATTGCAAGCAGTGGGGAGGAAGGGGAAGAGAAAAGGAAAAGGATTAGAGCTACAAGTCAGGGACAAGATACTGAAACAGAGTGTAACTCAAGTCAGGGCAGGGCTGCATTGGGGAGTACAGAGATCTGGGGCCATTCAGCAGGAGGACCAAAGTGCCCTTCAAAGAGAGGGCTTCTTATACTCTGATTTTGGGTGCTGCCTCCCTGAAGTTGGTAGAGTTGCATATCAGGGGTCAGGGCAACATACTATTTTGGGGGTTTGCACATCAGGGAGAAAAACAAGCCGGTGGTAGATAAAATATTATTTTAGGGACACAGTTG